CATCTGTCGCTGCAGTTTCATCTGTCGGTCAAGTTGTCTAACAACCGATGCACACCTGACATCTTCGTCTTAATTTTCTTCACCTGTGTGAAGTTTCTGCGCCTTATATGGAATACTGCTCCGAGTAAACCAATAGACACTGTCGTGCCAGTATATATCTTACTGTTCGTCGTCGAGAATGAACCATCTTGCATTCAGGTTGCAACAAGCCGCGTTTCTCTCATGTGCCGTCAGAGGCAGTTCCATGGCATTCGGCGCTGTGGTTTCATTTGTAGTGCGGCAGTGCCTCAGCTAGCTGCTGTTCCTTACACTAGTACTGTTCAGATGCTGCTGGTTTTTCAGAAAGTCTCTTCGCGACATTAAACGGTGAAGCTCCAGCTCATGGTTCTCTGGCAATCCTCATTTTTGCCAGGGTTGGACAAATTTCATATCATGGCGTCCTGAAACCGATCGCCTGAGAAATATACCGGCTCTCGATAAGTCAAGCTCGACGCCCTTGTCTGCCCTTTTGTTAAAACTTTTGTCAGTACATGACTCGTATATACATGCACGGTTTACGCAGTGTTCTCCCGCTGACAGTATGATGGTGCGGATAACCGTTTAATAGAAGAGTGGATAGCGGAAAAGGCATCCAGGCAGTATGGCGAAAAGTGACAGTTAAATATCCGACACTGTAGATTTTTGTATCCACATTCAGAACCGCCATTGTCTTAAATAAACTAGTTCAAACGCCATCCAGCTCTTGTTCCTGGAGAGTGAAAGAACGTCGAATAATTCGATATTTTTCCGAAATCTTTAGAGTTCTGAGTGATTCATTCGTTCGCGTCTTTGTTCATAGCGAAAATGAACCGGTAGTGCCACATTTCCAAGGCCGTAATCCTTCAAGGATCGTTATCCTTAAATAACGGCTAAGCTATTTTATACTCATTGTTATCAGCGTCTGGTCGCTCATTAGATTATTCAGTGCGAAGTTTGTTTAGTCTTGCGGTGTCATCAAAAAGCTCGCAATTGCTGTCAAAATCTAAGGATGCCTCGTTGCTGAGCAGTTAAATTAGGATCATTTTCTCACGTCTTTTTCTGTGTTCCTATGGGGTTTGCAATGCATCTCAGCTGTTTACAGGGCTACTGTACGTCATTTCCTTGTCGCTTACATCTATAGTGATTTGCGCAGCATCTTTTATGGCAAAATAACCACAGCGAAGACTGGCTGAAGGTTGCCTTTGTTCCAACGATTATGCCAAGTTAGGACACAAAACTTCTATTCGACGTTTTTTTACCAGTAAGTAGAAAAAGGATGCATCTGCTCTCTTTTAATAGTCTCCCATTTTGCAGTTCCTCAGCCCAGGTTCACAGTCAGAATCTTCTCCTCATTATCACTCTTGCGACTAACCTTTCTGTCAGAGTTCCCAGGAGACATACACCCATGCCATAGCAGCTGAAGAAAAGGCTTGACTGTAATTCTCTGTAGTATGAAGTCTTCTATTTGTGGAGCTGCTAGCTTGCTCCTATCATCTCCTCCTGTCTCGTGTTTTGTCTATTTTATGATGCGAATTTGAGGTTGCATTTGTAGAAAGCGATATGGTTCCTGTAATTACCTATCGCCACTTATTCTTCGATATCAGTGGGTGAGTCAGATGATTCGAGCTGGCTACGAATGAAGTTGTGTATAATCTATTTTGAAATCGGTACAGACAATATCATTTATAATTTTCTTCAGCGTTATAAATGTTGCGCTTCTATCCCTGTACAATAAATTGTAGCTTGATGCAACTTTCAGTTCTAGCGTGAATTAAAAATTGAGCAGATTAAAAAGAAGCGAGTGGCCTAAGTGCAGTTTAGCCAAATGCCCAAGAATAACTCGGGTTGTCAGAAGCGGTTGGAATTTTGATCCTGCAAAGCATCTTTCTATTATGTGGGTCTACTCTCTGAGAGAATCAGTGGGAATGGAATAAAAATAAGATGTGGACTCGATGCATAGACACCGTTCTTTTGATGAGGAAACATCATCCCCGCACTCAGTTATTGTAAGCTGTCGAACAGTTATTAATTTTTCAATTAACTTTTGACTTAATGAGGGAGTCAGCTGAGTTAAAGTGCACTTCAAAATGGAAGACCGTAGGTTTCGTTAACTTTAGCATGGCCACACAAATTTTGCATATTTTTCTAGTGGTTCGTTTGAGTCTTCAATTTCTTGGCCTACTGACTTGTCCTGCGGAAAGTAGTTACTATGAAACCAGTTACCATGCCGGGATTTGAATTCTTTCCATACTAGGTAATATGCTGAACAAAACCTTTGCGATTAATTTGTCATAGACCCAAAGTTATGCGATGTTCTGAACTTTTCATTAAAGATGATATCCACGTTGTTTGCTCTATTAATTTACCTTTCAAATTGAATTTGTTTATATTTATCAGATTTAATGGGCAGTTTTCAGAAGTAAGGATTTTGCAGATTTGGCATGCTGTAGCAAGCCATGAGTGACAAGGTTTCTCAGAAAATAGCCGGTTTGTTTGCTTATTACAAAATTGTAAGGATGCGCGAGTATTTCCAACTCTAAACCTTCTACTTGCTACACCGTGTATGTTTATTTTGCAACGAAGTCGTAGTTAGTTTTATATCTTCGTGTTCTTACTGTTGCAAATGATTACTACCTTGCTAAAACATTTATTAGAGACGCGGTAATTCAATGGCATTTCAGGGTGATAAACTTGTAACTAAAATTAAGGCCAGTGTCTCGTTGATTAGATCATTCCGTAGAGCAGAAACTCAATTTCTATTTGGCTGGCTTGGATTCTTGTCTGTTTAATTGTTTCAACCTTCTGCGGTAGATAATTGAGTATTGCGACTTGGGATGCATATAATAGGACTGCAGCCTGTAGTAGGACCAAGATGTTGATGTTGTTTTCGTTAGTGATAAATGCTTCAATGTTCTCACGTCTGGCTGATGACACAGTGACGGAGTTCAGCGTTGCTTCATAATTTTAGCGAAAAGAAAGTGCTGCAAATCGTGAAAGTGTGCGAAAACTGAAATCTCTGTTTAAACTTCATTCTTCTTATGTATCAGAGTTGATGCTAGTTTCTCTTACTTGTATATCTTCTTTACACTTGTATGTCACCCTGCGTTCGAACAGCCTTTAGCTTTGTTGCACTTGCGGTAGATCTGCTCTCGACAACCTGCAGATTGATGGATCACTTTTTATTGGCAGTGCCTTGTTCAGTTAATTCACAGGTACGACACCGACTGACTGCTGTTTACATACCGTTTATAGCCAGCGTTGATGTTGCCGGCCTTGTAACTGCGGGATCATATTTACCTTAGTATTCTCGATAGTGTTGTTATATAATCTCCACAAGATAAATAGTATATAAGGAAAGTTGTTTTACTCAATACAGCCTTACTGGTTCAGGAGCTCGTTAACTTGATAAGGGCATTCATTTCTTGAACGGAATATGAAGGTCAAATAAAAATGAAAATTCCTTTTTAAAAACAAGCTGAAGAAATGATTTTGCACTTTGATACAACGCATCTCATCAGTGCAGATGACGTGGCGAATAAATCTTATTATGACTACTACTTTATATAAATAATCGCCATCCATGTGGCACAGACGGTTTATTTGTACGAAGTATAGTGGTCTATCAGGAAGGTGAGGGGCTGATACCGATATTTTGGCTCGTATCGTTCGGGCCTTCTGGATAAATCTTGTGGTGAAGTTCGGTTGATTTTGTGGTTTTTTGCCGCATCATTTTCGGTTTTTGCTAAGGTGCTCTAAACGATTCCGCTGCTGTGACCCCAGCAGCAACCGGTCTTCAAATTTTCTTCATGGAAAGTCCATGAGATGCGGGTTTAAACATCGGCATCGTTCTAAAAACTACCTTATGGCGTTGTGCATAATTAAATCGTTTTTGTGCTGTTTTTCAGTATGACTGCCAGCTCACGAACAAAACATTCCATCATATCATTTTTACTTTAATTAACCCAGCCTTGCCTATAATTCTAGTCTGTTATTTATACAGTTACACTTCGTTTTAGCCTTAATTTTTGCTTAAGCTATTGCCATGTTTGCAAACATCTTTGTACTTATTCTTTATTGCATATGCGTGGCATTTTGATGGTTGTGTTATACGTATAAAAATTACAGTGGCGATAGAATCTGGCATGATTGTAATGGAGTTTATTCTAACTTTGTTATAAATCATCGGTTGTTTTTAGCACTATGGGCAAGCGTCTGTTGACCAAGTGTCGTATGCTAATTCAAGAAAACGAAGAGCTTGGTCGCATGACTAGTAGTGGTCGGATTTCTAAATTAGAAGCTGACCTGGCAGTGTCTAAGTCAGCCTGTGAAGAACTAAAGAAAAGTCAGACAGGTACAGAACCCTTGAAATTTACTGATGACAGGTACCGATGACCGTGGTCATTATTGCTGGCTTGTAACTGTGATCAACACAATATATGATACGCTGCGCGTAAAAGCGCGTGAACTTTACCAAGATCTGATCTGTCCGTGAAAGTCGTCGCTGGTGTTCCTTGTTTTTGTTAAACGTTAATTAATATTTTCTTAGAAATCGACGACTTTCTTTTGGAAATGGATGAAGACATGGAGGGAATGCAGACAACGATAATGTTCCTTCAGCAACAGGTCAGTGACCTCCGCGCTGAAAACCAGCATCTCAGGCACCTGGTTGCGAAGAACGGTGACGTTGACTTGGCTGATTCTGCTTCCCACGATGCTCTCTATTCAGACTTCTCTGTCGAACAGCCGACCAGCTCCAAGGAAGAATCGGTCGGTCTTAAGGGCGTCGAGGAAATCGACAGTGCCGAATCGATAGGAACGTATTCGATGACGGATGATGGCCGAAACAGTGGTGAATCGACTTTTGCAGATGCAGACGTAGACGCGCATAGTCCGGCCTGGATCGAGAATAACAGTGATGTGTCGTTCTCTTCGTGGTACCTGCTGGATTAATATTGTGATATAAATATCCAATCATGATGCCAAAGATCAGATATCAGCAAACACCTAGGGTAGATGGCCGGACACCAGCTACCCAATGCATTTCCAGACGCGCAAACATTGTCACTGCCAGCCGTCTACCTTTCCAAACTCAGACGCCCTTTTCAGGGCCACTGTAGAATTTGCTTCGATTACGGAAGAACTTAAATACAGTCACCTTGAACTGTCAGTCCTTGAAAGGTGAAGATAGGCAAGCTGCCTTTACCAGAACCTTGAACAATCTAAATGTACCAATCGTATGCCTCCAAGAAACGTGATTAATGAAAGATGATATGCCAAAAATGGGCTATTCAGATGGCCAGGCATCTTATTATTCGATTCGAAGGTCGAAGAAGATATATGTAGTAGCAGAGTCGCAGTGCGCTCAGACTACGAAAGAGTTGTAGAAGATTTGGGGTCAGTTTGCCCAAGATTGTGCTGGACATCGATCTGAAATCGTTCAGAACAACAGATTATATCCGCCCACGCACCTGCGAGCAATACAGATGAACAAGAAATGAACGGTTTCAACGATAGGCTAGAACAATTATCTGTTACTTTATGATCGAACGACCTTGTAATCCTTGGAATGGACGCCACTACATAATTCGGCAGCAGTAAAGTGAGTGTTTTACTGAGTAAATGGTTCCTACCATAACCTCAGGCACGGAAAATGGATCGATAGTCCTCAGCTTCAACGAAAGATTTAGCCTGACAGTTGCGATGACCCTGAAACGAATTGGACGCCCGCAAGGACCAATATGGTAAGGCCCGTAAAGTTTGCCTGTTGAGCAGCAGAAAGGGCATAGATCGAAGAAGGTACAACTACAGCTGCT